CCACCCTCGGCCAGCGGCCGCCTGTGCAAGTGCTGTTCTGAGGACAGGGGAGAGAAAAACTAGCCAGAGCAACACCAGCGCAGCTGGTAGAGCTGGAGGGCGCTACGCATTGCTCAGTAAAGTCACCTCAGATTAGGTTAGTGACGATTCTCTTCCATCTGGCGCGTTGCTGTACCTAAGAATGACAGTTTCATAAAAGGTTTTACATATTTTTACTACTACATATATTCTTCCAGCACCTACTGATTTGTTTGCCTACATGTTTTCAATGAATTTTCAAACATAAAGATATGTAGCTTGTCTTCACTGTATACTACCTCAGTCGGATGGTCTGTTGGCTGTGGTATCATTAGCTGGTTGTGATGCTGAAGTACAGTCTTCAAATAATCTAAAACAGTCTGGCAGGGCACTGCATGAAACAAATTGCAATTACTGTATATTAGCTATCTAGCACAAAATAGAACAACAATATTAAATCAAGCAGTGTTCTTCAGGATCTGTTTGGTACTTCTGTGGGATTTATTTCAAATAGGAAATCGTCCTCATTTTGTGTTGTGCAGTCACTTCATTCAATAAATGCACAACAGATGTTGTAGTCCCTGTGTTGAGAACTCTGATAGCACTTTCATTTTCTGCCCGCTAGTTTTCAAAGGTTCTTCTAGTTTGAAATTATAATGATTACAAATATAAATTAGGTCAGCAGTAATGATAATAAAAAAAAATCTGTAAATACTGTAAACAGCCCAAACCATTCAAAGGAGAAAACATTTCTTGGACCTAAATCATGCACTGATTAACATGTAAATATGCTCAAATCTTTCCGAAACTACAGTCTGATTAACTACACTGAATAGATTTAATGATTCATATACTTTAATTTCTTTCCCCTCCCTTCTCCCAAATCTGTTACAAAACTAGGTGTTAGGCATACTGTTTTATTGCTCTTGCTCTTGTCCTCCCCCTTTCCATTCCCATCACTCCGCTCCTTTTCAGCAGCGGTACCAACATCCTATTCCCATCTGCTGAGGTGATAGGTTAATTAGGTCTGATTCAATTATGGGTCTCTCTTAAGCAGATGCTGCCACATCCCTGATTAACTCTGGGGTATTTCTGAGATACAGTACGTTTCTCCCGAGCCTGAAATGTAGTAGGACAATTAAACAGATATTAACCCAACATTAAGATTGACTTTTGACTAAATAAGCATCATTTTTAAGGTACCTTGTCAGTCTCACAGTTTCTATGGGTTGTTTTTGTAAAACACTAGAGATCTTCCCAGCTTCAGATAAAAATCCAGAACAAATATTATTTCAGTGTTTCTTCTTTTTTATTTTTTGATATTCAGCCTTCACAGCTGTAAAAATCTAGTATTTTGGGCTGCCTTAAGCTGGCAATCAAAAAGGAAGCACTCAAATCACTGACAATGTATTAAGACAGGATATTAATTTACAGTGCTCTTCTGCAGATATTTGCATTCTTTCCTGGGCAGTCATACTGTGCAGTAACCACGACCCTGTTTAGGCACTTTGCTCTGTTTTGCACATGGACTAAGCAATGTTAACATTTAGTAGTCCAGATATGGAAGTCCATGCAGAGTGTCTGACACAGATAAATTCATACGTCATTTCACCACATGCTGACTTTTCTGTAAAGACAAGCCATCAATATTTTTACTCCTGCTTCATTTGACATATACTTTGCCATAGGAAGTTATAAGGTTATGTGTTAGACAAAAGTTAGCATTTCAAGTGACAGGTACCTGCTTCATTTCTCCAGTGACTTCACTGCTTATTGCTAGGCCAGTGCAGTGCCTCAGAAGTGTGGCTGCTACACAGTGACATTGCTGAAGTACATGAGCAGGGGAGCGTGGATGAATTTTTTGTAGGAAAAAGAGCACTTTTAAGTAAGTGTCATCAGACAGTTTTAGAAAATGTTTCAATTCTGAAAAAGTCAGAAGGGCAGTCAAGCTTAATAATCTCGCCAACATATCCTATAACCTTGTTGTAATGAGAACTGCATATTTAGCATATAGCTGAAATCAAAAAATTTAATCAATATAACAAGTTGCTAGGTGGAATAAAAGAGAAAAAATGTGATAACCTCAGGAAATGTTTTAGTGCACTGGATATTTGGAGGAGGTGTGTGTGGCAAGAAAGGATTTGGCTTTTTTTCCAATTTTATATACAGGAAAGGTCATGCAGGAAGAGGAAAAGATTTTTTTTTTTGTTTTTCCATGTGGATAGTCTGAAGGATGAGATCGTATTTTTGGAACCTTTTCTTATACTTTTCTCAGCCCAGCCACGTCTGTGTGGTCAGTCTCCTGCACCCTCTGATAGTCACAGGGGATTGGATGAACTTGCCTCAAGCACCTCGTCTGAGAAGGATGGGGATTCAGCTGACAAAGGCTGATTTTCTTCAGCATATGGTGCTCATCATAATGACGACGATGGGGACTAAATACACCAGTGTGGAGTACACCAGTGCTATCCAAGCCCCGACTGAAAATAAAATGCTGACTGAGAACATAGACTGGACAGCAGGAAAAAGCTCTGTTCAATGATCTGGCTGATCAGCATCAAGTTGGAGGTGCAGCGTCCAGTAGAAGTTATGTGAGTGCCCGTGAAGACTGTGCCCTACTCAAAACATACCGATTTTGTATGCTTTTGCTGTCTGACATGTCCAACATCAGATTAAACTGGGAACGTCCATGCACAGGTTACTCTGTTATTAGTCTGGTTTCCAGTGAAGAGGACCATGGATGACCAAGGCTCACTGCCCCGGGCAACTTCAGAGTCCCTGTGCTGAGCGCCAGATAAACTCCTGGTCAGGTGGAAGTTAGCACAGGCAACTTCCTGGGATCTCCTGGTACCTTCTGCGAGGTGAAAGTAATGACGGAAAGGGCCATGACAGCTCATTGTACTATTGCCTGAAAGAAAAGATGTCTGATACTTGCACGTGGAGGTTAGCTGAGCACTTCTCAAGTATCCCTTTCTTGCTCTTGGAAATCACTGCCCTGCCTAAAATGTGTCACTTTTTTTTCAGCAAGTTTATTGAGCGCATAGTTGCTGAAGCATCAGCAATACCTGGACGCTTGGGAGTTCTTTGGTCCTCATGAAGCTAGCTTTAAAACAATTTGTGCAGTTTGCATTTGTTTTTCTGGTTATCTCTATTACAAAAGTCCCTGCTGATGATCTGATAGCTGTCAGCCATCTTTGGTACTATTACCTGTAATTATGTGGAGCAATGTGAGGCCCTGAAAGGGCACAGAATATAATGGGTCATAAATTTCCAATTTTAGGATCTGATTTCACAGCCAGGTGATCTTGTAGCTGCTATAGGAAATTTCACCACAGACTTTTCAAAAGTATATTTACCTATGTTCTTCCAAAGGGAAGGGGCACAAGCAAGAAGACAACAGGAAACTATTTAGCCTGTTGTGTCCCCAGCACAGGAAGAAGGTCTACAGATACAGCTCTACAACAGAGATACAGCTCTACTCTAATTGTATCCAGATGATAAAACACTGGTGCTTTCTCATTACTGGCCAGAAATATGACGATACCAAAAGGTAGCTGAAGCTTATTAACGCTTCCTTTTCATAAAAGCAATGTTTCAGGCACAAAAACGTATGATTTTGATATCAATCTAATCATTGCAGCACATTTTGAGGACGTTTAACTCATAAAGCCTGCATGCACCACATAAGCTGTTGGGTACAAATTACCTCAGCCTTTCAAATACCAGATGCTATTTGCAAAGTTCGCCTTCTTGGATTGCCTTATCAACAGAATGCTAAAGGAAACCACCAAAAGGGCAGCCCAAGGCCTGAGAGCCAAGCTTTAGTTTTGCATCTGTGTCCATCTTATGGTTCTGCAAATGTCCTCTTTGCTGAGACATAAGACGAACTGTTTCCTCCAAAGCCTGTAGCAGACACAACTTTTTAAGAGCCTATGGCTCCCAAATGGAAGTGTGAATAATCATTTAAACCTACTTGCTTATTTATTTTGCTTTAATGTGATCGCTAGAGAGTTAAGAAGATCATAACCTTGAGAGCTGATTCTCTGCATGCTTATACATCTATCTACTATCAGTGACACTAACAACAGGGATCCCTGCTTGCTGTAACCAACGGAAAAGATGCTAATGTAGAAATAGCAGTTGCTTGCTATGATTTAGCAGAAACCCTGAGGGCAGTAGTAATTTTCCTGCCCATTAAGAAGAAGTTTCCGTGGTCTTTATTCTCTAATTGAAAGTGTAAATGTCAGTGACTTGGATAAGGCACTGAAAGCGGCAAAGTCATCTGGCCCACAAGAAGTGAAAAAAGGGGGAAACTTTGAGTAAGCGAGGTGGAGAGAACAAGGTGATACAGAACATTTAGTATGCTGGGGGAAAGCTGGTCATGCTAAGATGCTAAGCAGTGAATAAACAGGACAAGCATAAAAGGTGGCAGGTCTTCACCGCTTATTGATCAAAGTCATAAGACTTCATTATTATTCTAGGCAGTAAACTTGGTTACCATATGCTGTAACAAGTGTTTCTTTGGCATACCTGTCATGGTTTTATCTATGGAATACCATAATTTCTAATAAATAGTTGAACGGTGCGTTGCCTACAAACTGTGCTGATTACAAAAGCCAGGGTGTGATCTGTTAGCCTGTCCTCCTGCACTGTACAGCACCCAAACTCCCCAGATTAAATCCTCTTTGCAGCACACTCTATCAACCAGCAAAACTCAAGTTATCGCTTTCCAGCGATGCAGGCTCTACCCTTAGCTAGTTGTTTGTGTGTGTACTATTTCTCCCTTAAAAATCTAAGCTGTATTTCTAGTCTGCGTGTGTATCATTTAATTTTTCTTCTATTGGATTTTATGAACTCTTTGGATGACAAAAAACAAAAAGGACTGTCACCTGTTATGTACTTAAGAGTCAGCGGTTAAATCATCACTCAGTCTTCTCTTTGTTAAGCTAAACAATTCAATTCCTCTCTCTTTGTAGGCAAGTTTCCCAGTCCATTGCTAATTTCTGTGGTTCTTGCCTGAACATTTCTGAGCTTAACGCTAACCTTCCTGAGTTGCTGGGCTCATGCATGGGCGTCTGTATCCAGTAATGTGGCCTGTCAGTGCTAAAAGCAGAGTCCCTATACCCACTTACGGGTTTGTACATCCAAACACCACACTAGCCCTTTCGGCCACACTGTGCATCAATATTCAGCCAGACACTCACTGCATCTTCCAAATCTTTCTTGGGTCTGCTTCCCAGGGCCTGAAGCTAGGTAACGCCTACGGTCTTTGTGCCTAAATAAATGGTATTACATTGCGTTGTATTAAGTACATAGTGTTTGAGTCTATAACCTGTTATCTTCCTCACTCATTGCCAGCTCTAGCACCTCTAAACCCTTAACAATAATTTT